CTTTTTATAATTCACGAATTTGATAAGTTTTTGATGCTAGAGGCATGATTGTTAGGTTACTTTGAGATGTTTGTATTGAAACTGTTAAGGATTTGGTATTTTCCTTATGATTGTTATTACAATATAGTTCCGGAGAATTTCCGGTTGTTGGAGGAGCTTGAACGGGGGGAGAAAGGTATTGGGGATGGAACTGTGAGCAATCACATTTGAGAACAATCCTTGCGATTACTTCACTCTAGGGAAAGACAAGCCAATGACTCTATCGCTCTCTGTTCTTGTGGCTATTGAGATGTTTAACTAGTTGAACGCGTTGTCCGAAGACAACAGTCTCTTAACGATGCCACCATGGAGAAACCCTTGGCTACTAGTGCCCATGACTGTCTCCTTCGTGCTTCACTGCTTCATCCTCTACGTTCCTTTCTTAGCTAATGTGTTTGAGATTGTGCCTTTGAGTTTCAGGGAATGGTTTGTGGTTATTCTTGTTTCCTTCCCTGTGATTCTAATCGATGAAGCTCTCAAGTTCATTGGGAGATGGAGAAGGACAAGAATCAAGAAGAAGATCAAGACAATGTAAAAGTCTGATCAACACAATCTTTGGATTAGATATGATCTCTTTTGCAATCTTTTGTATCATCAAAAAACCCAAACAAGTTTTGTTGTGACCAATTCATTACAGATTCTCTCAAATTCCATTAAAACACCGAATGATTGATTACATGATTAGCATCAATGACAACCATTACAAAACTGAGATATCATCAATGATTATTGTTTTGCAAAATTTTGATTTTTTTTTGCTTCTTAAGAACCTCATTAGAGATTACCATTGGAAGAGAAAATTGTTAAGAAACAATCATAGGACTCTTAACTTTGAAAAAGCATACTTTAAATTTAAAAAATAGTTAAGAGCTAAAAATAAGAGACCCTTAATAATGATGCTCTTAGAGAAATTCCTAAAAATAGCCCTAAAACAAGTTTTATTGACAATAATAGCACACACTCCATAAACTTCCAAAAATAGCACTAGTTAACTTATTATTAGTGTTTTTGATCTAAAAATTTTATCACTAGTTTTTTTTTGAGAAATTGTTAAAAATGCCCCTTTTTCAATACCCCTTTTCAAAAATGCCCCCTTTGAGAGTCCATTTTTAAGTTTGCCCTCTTTTAATTTTTAATGACCATTTTACCCTTATTTGAAACAAAATTAGGTCCACAAAATACAAAATATTTTTTGGCGGGAAAAGTATCCCGCAATTTTCCCGCCAAAACACTTGTAAAAAACCTTTAAAATACCTTGTAAAATTTTCCCGTAAAATTTTTCCCGCCAAAAAATTTTCCCGCCAAAAAATTTTTTTTGCGGGAAAAGTGATTCCGCAATTTTTTTTTTGGCGGGAAAATTTTTGGCGGGAAAAATTTACAAGGTATTTTAAAGGTTTTTTACAAGTGTTTTGTAAGGTTTTACAATGTATTTTAAAAGGTTTTACAAGGTACTTATTAGGTTTTATAAGGTATTTATAACTTGTAAAACCTTATAAAAAACTTGTAAAACCTTATAACTTGTAAAAACCTTATAAAATAGCTTGTAAAATCTTATAATATCTTGTAAATACGTTGTAAAACCTTTTAAAATACATTGTAAAACCTTATAAATACCTTGTAAAAAACCTTTAAAATACCTTGTAAATTTTTGGCGGGAAAATTTTTCCTGCCAAAAATTTAACGCCAAAAAAATTGCGGAATCACTTTTCCCGCAAAAAAAATTTTTTGGCGGGAAAAATTTTACGGGAAAATTTTACAAGATATTTTAAAGGTTTTTTACAAGGTTTTACAAGTGTTTTGGCGGGAAAAATTGCGGGATCAATTTTCCCGCCAAAAAATATTTTGTATTTTGTAGACCTAATTTTGTTATATTTCCTTATATATTTGTGATATATTTTATTAAAAGAAGGGTAATTTAGTCATTTTGTACATAAAAAGGGGTATTTTAAAAAATGAACAGCCAAAGGGGGCATTTTTGAAAAGGGGTATTGAAAAAGGGGCATTTTTGTGAGTCTCCCTTTTTTTTTTCAATAATACCACAATTTTTATATAAAAGCTATTCAACAAAATAAATTAGAAATAAATTTAAAATATTATATTTGGGTTCTCTATTTCCAATTTAGGGTATATATTTCCACCATTTAAAAGAGATTTTGATTCATTTTAATATTAGTTTGTGGTATTATATTTGGGTTCCCTATTTCCAATTTAGGGTATATATTTCCACCATTTAAAAGAGATTTTTATTTTAATATTAGTTTGTGGTATTATATTTGGGTTCCCTATTTCCAAATTAGGGTATATATTTCCACTATTTAAAAACAATTTTGATTCAATTTAATATTAGATTAGTGTTTGCTCTCTTTTTTATTTTCTATCTTATATTTTCATTAAGTTAAATTGAAGTTTATGGTGCTATTTGTGGAATTTTTCAAATGAGGTGCTATTTTTGGAAAAAAACAACTTTTTTGGGGCTATTTGTGTCAATCTCCCTTAGAGTTAAATATATACTCAACCTCTTCACTAGGCAATAGGCATGTAAACTTAGAACAGGAATACTCGTGTAACGATTTTTACCGTTAGTTATCGTTATTTAATAATCTCGATCGGATGAAACCATGGGTTCTCGTGTATACCTAATTCTGCCACAACTACTAACTGAAATACTGATACTTTTTGTTGGCCAGTTTAAAACATCTACAGATTTAGACTTTTAAAATCTAACCCAACAATATAAAAACTTTACTTAACAAATTAGATGCTTACATAGAAATATAACATGATATATGAAAAACAACTTGTCACGCAACAGTTAAACAAAATGTTCAAAAATCACATTCGTATGTTTGGACAAAAAAAATGGTTTGTTTCTTACTAAGTTGCTACTCAGATTTTTTTCTATTTTCATGCAAATATTCTTATATATAGTGTGTAATTTATAATGTCCCTAACGTGGAAAGCAAATTGGATTAATAACCAGAAGACCAGGAAGTCTGTTTTATTAATATAGTTTTTGAGTCTTTTCACATATAGTTACCGTGATCCACGCTGTTTCACGTAACACTAGGCCCCAATATGTGCTCTTTAATTATTTTAGTCTTTAATTTAATTCCATATGTATGATGTCTAACTTTCAAATTAGACTAACCCAAGAAACAACATGTATGATGCCTAATTTTCAAGAAATGAATCGTATAAATATTTAGTAGCATATAAAATCATATCGATATAGTCCTATATAGTATATATACTTCAAATATTAGTTGAAAATAAAAGAAAAAAGTAGAGAAAGTGATCAAGAACTACAATATATTTTTGTAGCAAGGAAGTAACCAAATTTAAACAATCGACAAATTTTAAAACCGTCTCCTAGAACATTATTTGACCTCAAGGTTTGATGATTATTGATTAGTAATGAAAATAATAATGTATCACTAAACGAGCATCAACCTATATAATAGTCTATGTCAGCTAGTGATTATTGGACAATTTATTTGTAATGGACTCTTGCTCATTATTAGACAACAAAACGATTAACGGTTAGTTAGGCGAGAAAATATTAGATTACGCACCATTCGACTATTCAATTAATTTCTTTGCACTAAATATTAATAATACTAGCTAGTACTTTTTTTGGTCTCCCATGAAGGCATGAGGCTTCCTACTAACATCATCACAAGGGCTAAGGAGTTATACTTTTTTGTTCTCTAGTCTTAATAATGTTTAACGTTTCGATCGCGAGATGGTTTAATTGTTTCATTACGATTGAGAGTTTTTGAAGGTTGCAAACGTTGATTATTTTATTAATTCGCAGTTTAACACACACACACACACAAAAACCATGTTTCTTACCCGAAGACATCGACCACAGATTATGTATGGCTTATCTTCTTGCGCATTACGATTTTGTTTTACTCTTAACTGAAAATTAAATGCTCACCAAACTTCAAGAAAACTGTGGTTCTCCAATGCAATCTAAAAATAAAACAAATAGGAAGTCTTTTTAATTAGGTCAAAAAGCAAAGGGTCTTTTCTTCGATCCTCAACATTCCCTTTACTCTTTTGCTTTATTTCCTTTGACTTTGACCTATAATTTACTTTCTTTCTCCAATAGTTAACAACATACATAATCAATTTTACTACCATTGTTTTACTTCTTATAAATGTCATTCTTGATCTACTTCTCTTTCTGTCAATATGGCTAATTAAGTTTTCGATCATACTAGTTTCTGTATGCTTTTATTTTATGCATGTAAATATATAACTTCACATAAACTAAATTTATCTGATCACAACAAAACTGATGACATTGTATTTGTCACACCATACTTCAGATTAACATAACCTAATTAGGCTACTTTGGATTCTTGGACTTTGGCTTTGGTGCTTTATCCGTGGTGGATTTGCGCAAAACTCCTATCAGAAAATATGTTTATTGCTACATTAGTCATGCGCCACAATAATCCGAAAACCCGATGCTAATCAAAATAAGTAAATTAAGCGATCTGCTTTATTTCGGATTTTTTTTTGAATATGATTACTTTTTAATGAAGGTAATGTCAACCAAATGAACTCATTAAGCCATTAATTGATTCGTTCGTTTAGTATCGCACTAGCTTTGAATCTGCGTTAAGTGAACTTCAGCCTAGTTTATTTGTGTTATCGATGGGCCAATAGTCGAATCTAACGGATGATATCTGGCCCAAATTAAGGGATTGGGGCTAACAATGTGTTCTTAAAATATACGCGGCAAATTTGGTATTTAATAAAAAATAGAAGGACCGGATTCAAAAACAAACATTAAAACAGAGAGAGACTGAGAGAGAAAGAATGAGAGAGAATTTGGGGGAGAAAACACCCCTTCGGAGAGGAGCAAAGCCTCTCCTGGGGAAGAAGAAGAAGAACACGACTTTTTGCTTCTTTTTAATCCAGATTTTAAGGGTTTCGTGAATTTTGCGTCTGATTATCGAAATTAGGGTTTTTTTTTTCTTTCCATTAGTTGTCTGTGAAGAAAGGTGGAAGAAGAAAAAAAGAGAAAGGAAGAGAGAAAATGTCAGACCTAGACCAGCAAATAGAGCAGCTTAAACGCTGCGAGCCTTTGAAGGAATCAGAAGTGAAAGCTCTTTGTCTTAAAGCTATGGAGATTTTAGTTGAAGAGAGCAATGTTCAAAGAGTCGATGCTCCTGTCACTGTAAGTTGTTTTCCACGATTCAAGTTTCAGAATTTATCCCTACATATGTTTGAAGATTGAGTTTTGGAGAGAACCCATGAAAGTCAAAGCTTGTGAGTTGACAGTTGAGGTATCTGACGAAAATTGAAATCGAGTTCTTGAATTTTGTGCATAATTGTGACTCAGAACCGTTGTAGTTAGTTTGGATGCGGAATTAGAAATGATGTGGTTTAAATTAGGGCTTTTGTGGATGGTTTACTAGGTATTGGTTTTTGGAGTTATGTAGGAAATTTTGGTTCCTATGTTTTAGGGATGCTATATACATTGTTATCTAAAGACTCTGCAACAATTGCTTCTTTAAATTGGAGTGCTTACAAGTCTGAAGATTTCATGGAGAGTGTCTTGCTAGTTGATTTATCCTTAGATTTTGTTTTGTTTTATGGATTTAGATATGTGGCGACATTCATGGGCAGTTCTATGACATGAAAGAGCTTTTCAAAGTCGGCGGTGATTGCCCTAAGACAAGTTATTTGTTTCTTGGAGATTTTGTTGACCGAGGTTTTTATTCAGTTGAGACATTTCTACTTCTTCTAGCTCTCAAGGTAATAAGAATTTGCTCAACAGTGTGTTTACTTTGGTTTGTTCAATTATTTGGATAGTCTTCTCTGCAAATGGGTTCTAGAATCCCTCAAGTTGGTTACTTTTTATATTCTCAGGTTAGATATCCAGACCGTATAACTCTCATTAGAGGGAATCACGAGAGCCGGCAGATTACGCAGGTGAGTTGAGTCTTTTTAGGAAACTTTGGTGCGTGTGTATACTTTCAGACTATTTAAGAGTCTGATTTTAGTAGGTATATGGATTTTATGACGAGTGCCTGCGTAAATATGGCTCTGTAAATGTCTGGAGATACTGCACAGATATATTTGACTACTTGAGGTACACACCCCTTTTCGGCTTTTGTTTTGGAGTTCCAAGTAGATATTATTTCGGTTAATGTAATGGAAACTTCCTATCTTTTATTTGTCTAAGTCTTTCAGCTCTTGTCGAGAACAAGATATTTTGTGTTCATGGAGGTCTCTCTCCAGCTATTATGACTCTAGACCAGGTTGAGAAAGTGCTGATATAATCATAAGATTTTAGCTATAAGGACATAACTGACTAGTCAGTTCATACATTTCTTGTGGCAGATCAGGGCTATTGATCGAAAGCAAGAAGTACCACATGATGGTGCCATGTGTGATCTTTTATGGTCTGATCCAGAAGATATTGTTGATGGCTGGGGATTGAGTCCCCGTGGTGCCGGATTCCTTTTCGGCGGCAGTGTTGTTACGTCTTTTAACCACTCAAACAACATTGATTACATATGTCGAGCTCATCAGCTAGTTATGGAAGGTTACAAATGGATGTTCAATAGCCAGATAGTCACTGTTTGGTCTGCCCCAAATTACTGTTATAGGTAATTAATTAGATAGATACTCACAACCTTACACGTATGATATTGTTTCATTTGCCTTGAGTGTTCATGTTACTTGTGTTTGAATGTGGTCCAGATGCGGTAATGTAGCTGCAATTCTAGAGCTCGATGAGAATCTAAATAAGGAGTTTCGTGTCTTTGATGCAGCCCCACAAGTAAGATCCTGACCTATCTAACTTCCTGTCCAAATTCTGGTTTGATTTGTCAGGCATAACGTGACTATGGATGCAGGAATCGAGAGGAGCTCTAGCCAAGAAACCTGCACCTGATTATTTCCTGTGAGACGCAAAACAGTGAAAACAGAAACTGGAACTCAGAAATTGGTTCTTTCTTCTCATTGCAGAGCAAGAAAACTACCCAAAATCATCGATGTATAGGTTGTAAAATGCAGAAGAATCTATAATCCATGTGTTGCCAAAGAGATCTCTACACAAAGGGTCCGTTTGATAGAATCTTTGTGTCTTAAAAGCTTCTTGTTTATTTTCTCCCTCTTTTGTGTGTAATGCTACTTTTACTACAAGAAAAAGAAAAATTGTGAGAGAAGAGCCTCCATGGATCTTTTGAAAACCCTACTGATTGATTGATGCACAAGGAAATGATCATTCGTTCTTTCAAGTGTTTCTGCCGATTTCTCCTTTCCGGCCCCTTACTTTATTCCTCCTCAAAAACTGTAAGTTCATCATTTTTGGAACTTGAGTCTTTGACAATTTGGAGAAAACTTGGTGTGTAAGGTCCAATTAAGAGATTAATGGAGCGTTTGACCATATCTGAAATGAATTCCAGTTAAGATTGTGTATGACCATAATTAATTTAGTGGTGGGAAACTTGTTGGGCAAGTCCTTTCCTCTGTATTAATTCAGCGTTTTAGGGGGTGTTATTGGTTGTATAAGTTGAAGTCAATTCCATTAGAATTAGAGTTTATCAGATTTTAAGACATCTGGGCTCATTGAAAATGAATCATTATTCATTTTATCAAATACGTGGGAGTGTATTATCAATGATACATGATTTCATTTGGTTTTCTGTAACTGAACTGAATTCTATAACAAATGATTGTTATAATCTAATCGAAATCTGGCCAAACTTTTGTCCATCTTTTTTCTTCTTCTTATTTCATGTTTTTCTACTGTTTTGAAGTTTTTACAAGATCTTGTTACTAGCTATGAGTATAATGTCTTTAGTAAAGAAATTAAAAAAAAATGATGAAGAGAGATATACTATAATCACCGTATGTAAATTCTTATAAGTAGACGTGAAAAGAGAAAAAAATGGGGTTTTGGTTATTCTCATATGATTGTGAAAATCTCAGGGTAGAAGGTAAGATTTTGATTGCTATAATTTACACATGAAATCAGTTTCAGATTCATTCAAATCTTTTCAAATCAAATCATTTGTGAAAATCTATTAAACATAAATAACACAGAACTTTAATTGATCATTGTAAATATGAGAACCAATAACACTAGATTTTAAACTCTTTTAATATAGACATTAGAAATATGAGAACCAATAACACTTGATTTTAAACCTTTTTAATGAAGATATTATAAATATAAGAACCAATAACACTTGATTTGAATAAAGAAGTTAAGATCCACTAACCAATAACATTAGATTTGGGTTAGAGTTAGACTCTATTAAAATCCATTAACCAATAACACCACCTTAATCTCTTGCTTTTCGTTTAAGAACATTACTCATGTCTATGCTTCTCAACCAGCCCTTGAAGCTTCTATGCTTCCGGAGGAAACCTGGGTTGGTAAGATCCTCTCCTTCTCTCTCTAATGGCTTCTCAACTTCCTTGTTGCAAACCCCTCCTTGTACCATCATTGACGCTGATCCTTGTGGAAGGGGTCTCGGAAAACTCGTCGTTAACTATCATAATGAATATCATTTCACTGATTTGGAAAAGAAGGTGGCTATGGAGTTGGTGGATATTCCAATGGCAACGATAGGGTCATCCCATGGTTGGGTAGCTACTTTGAAGGAAGACGGAATACTGCGTCTCCAAGATGATCTAAACCCAAATGCATCGTATACAGAACCAAAACGTATTCCCCTGCCTCCTCTTGTAACTCTACCTCATTGCCAAACGCAAATCGTCACCAATGTGTCACTGTCCTCATCTTCTCCTAAGGATGAGGACTGTGTTGTGGCGGTCAAGTTCTTGGGACCTCAAATAAGTTTTTGCAGACCGGCTCAAAGTAACCCCGAGTGGATCAACATCAGAATCGCAAACCCCTGCTTCTACTCCTCTCGTGTCATGTTTTCGGAGAAATATGACATGTTTCGCATACTCGGATCTGGAGGCCATATCATTGGATCATGGGATCTCCACACAGACAAGCACAAAAATCCCAAGTTTCAGAGGTTGCGGTTCCAAAACCTTCCCAAGCTGACAAAGACCAAACGGGAGCTGATGGATTCGTGCTACAAAAGCGAACACTTGGTGGAGTCAAGAACCACCGGTGACACTTTCTTAAGTGGTATAGGAAGGCCGTCTGGAGAGGTATGTCGAAACTGAAAACGAAAGCTTTAATGGTGTTCAAGCTAGACGATAAAGGGAACGCTGTTTACACTCAAGACATTGGAGATCTCTGCATTTTCCTCTCAAAGTCTGAACCTTTTTGTGTGCCTGTTAGCTCCTTTCCCGGCATGATGCTCCCTAACCACGTCCGACTCGCGGATGTCGGTGAAACCGGATTTGTCAAGCTGGCTGATTACTCCATCTTTGCTCATAATACTATAATCGGGCCCGGTTACCATATTCCACCTCAAAATATAGAGTAGTTGTTTGGAAATGAGTTTGAGTCTGGAATCTCGTCTTTTCTTTTCAAATCTTGAAACATGAAATCTATTTTTATATATTCTATGTGAGATTGATATGCATATGTTAATCTACTTTAGTTATGGTGTGTGTCAAAAACACAAGTTTATATCTCTTCAAGATCCCCGTGATTAATCATTGAAGCCAAGTTCCATCCAATTTGTGCCTGTGACTTTACACAGTCATGTTTACCAAATGACGTTATGGATTTGCCTTAGGTTAGCATAATGATCGAAACGTTAGTTTTTGATTTAGAGACATTTTGGAGAAAAATCAAATGTAATTGATATTTGAGCCTGAAGATCGTTACATTTTTGATGCTTAAAACCGAAAAGGCAAAAAGAAAACTAGAAGAAAAGTCTACGGGGAGAAGATGATTTGGTAGAGATAGTTGATGGAGACTGCTTCTGGTGAGGCAGAGACATTCCTTTGTTCTCTTGTTGACCTGATGATCCCATTTTGTCCAGGAGTTTAGCTGCTCTTGGATCAGTCAGAAGTGTCTTCTGGAATGACTGTGAGAAGCCTGTGGCGATTATCGTTACATGAATCTCTCCGGTGTAACGATCATCCACAACAGCTCCAAATATGATGTTGGCTGATGGGTCTGCCAAACTTGTCACAACCTGAAAAAAACCAGAATAGATGAGAAGACTGCATTATCATACGGTATAATACCCAATTGAAGCCGAGTAAACCAAGACAAAAATACCGCACCTGCGATACTCGGTTTACTTCCTGCAAAGTAATGTCTTTTCCACCAGTGATGTTGTAGACGACACCAGTAGCTGATTGTATGGATGATCCGATCAATGGAGCCAAAGTCGCTTGTTCAGCTGCTTCTTCTGCCCGGTTCTTGCTGGAAGAAACACCTACCCCGAGCATTGCAGTTCCAGAATCTTTCATAACTGCCTTCACATCTGCAAAATCTACATTGACCAGTCCAGGTATCTGAAAAGGAACAATATATACTGTTTCCTCAGAATCTTTGGGGATCAATCAATGAGCATTCATAAACCAACTTGTTACGCTTTATACAATACACAGACTCACAGTAATGATATCTGAGATTCCTTGTACTCCTTGACGTAAAACATCATCTGCAAGAAGAAACGCGTCCTGAAGTGGTGTCTGTTCATCAGCAATATCTAGCAGACGATCATTTGGAATCACAATAAGGGTATCGACATTCTTTTGGAGCTTTTCAATAGCTTCCAGTGCCTAGAGAAGATAACCAAATTAGACATGGATCCATAACAAGACTTGAGACTTAAACCAATTCAACAAGAAACAGTGTCAACACACATTACCTGCAAAGATCTTTTACGTCCTTCAAAGCTAAACGGATAAGTAACAACACCAACAGTCAAATAACCGGCATCCTTCGATATCTGAGCTACCACAGGTGCAGCACCAGACCCTGTTCCACCACCCATACCAGCAGTTATGAAAACAAGGTCTGATCCTTTAAGAGCATTAGCAATTGCATCTTTTGATTCTTCTGCAGCTTGTTCACCGAGAAGCGGGTTTCCACCAGTACCTATTAAAACAAGTAACAGAGACGCAAGTTTGTTGCTTTTAAGTGCCAAAACTCACACAACATCTATACAAATAATAGTATAACTCTACTAACCAAGGCCACGAGTTAACAGCTCTCCAATTTGAAGTGGGTTCTCAGCAGAAGACTGTAACAGAGCTTGAGAGTCCGTGTTTATCGCATAGAAATCAACACTCTGGAACACAGAAGAAATCAAACCATAAATCAATCAAAACCCAAAATGAGAAAAGTTTAATGCTTTCTTCTTTGTAGAGAGAGAGAGATTGAGAAATGTGACCTGTAAACCGCTTGAAATCATCCGGTTAACGGCATTGTTACCACCACCACCGACACCAACAACCTTAATTCTCGCAGACTCCATCGGAGAGAAGGAACATCTCAACCGCATCGATTTAGACCTTGTGGAATCGCTTCTTTGTTTTGAGAAGCCGCCACGGAATTGACTGATTCTAGTACTTGCGCAAACGCAGCTACTATGCAACGAATGAGAAGATAACGATTTCGCAAGAAATGGAGAAGACGATGAAGAAATCGTTAGCTCATTGAGCTGAGCTAAAGGAATTATCGCCATTGTTTACTTCCTCTGCTTTCAGAGAGGAAAGAGAGACAAAAAGATGGGTTTTTTAGGGTTTTAGTGTTCGACGAAAATATCAACAGTTCAGTGTTTTTTCCTCACAAAGGAAAGGTGAAGAGATCGAGTGGACCCTCTAAACCTCTAAGTCACATAAACGACGACGTTTCACATTGATGCAGAACCATTCAGAAACAAAATTATGACTTGAAAAAAAGCTTATTAAATCAACAATACATTGTGGGAGTGTTTGGAGTATTCTCATAACAGAGATTCAGCTTTGTATTTTTGAGGAATGAAGGAGAAGTGAATACAAGAAAATCTCAAAATAGTAAAGAGGCCAAAAGGTTTTGATTTGTTTACATGCCCAAGATAAGAATTACAAACAGGAAAACTGTTTAAAGATTGAAGATACAGAAGGATTGGATTAGTCGACTGACTTTGCGCATGCTTTTCCTAGTTTGAGGTTTCTTGTCTGAGAGTAGAGGATTCTACTCTGTTTCGCTTAGGATGGGGACAATCAGAGGATTCATCTGTGCAATATATACAATTGCCCACCTACCATAGTCAAGAGACAAAATATTAAGTAAGAAAATAAGACCACAGCAATATATAATCAAACTCGATATACAGATGCACAAAGAGCCTTGACAATGTTCATGAGTTCAATAATGAAACTTTCATTAAGCTGACTTCTTTGTTGTAGATATCTTAGCGTGTTTTGCATTTTGATTGTTTATGGAGAACAGTGATTAAGGAGAGGAAACAATAACACAAAGCAAACTTGAAGACGATGAAAAGCAAAGAAGGAACAAATATGCTGAAAATGTAAGCCAATGGCTAGAATGCAACGGAAATAGCATATGATCAAACATAAACTTACATCATCCAACAGCAGACCGTGGCAGTAATGACCAAGGTAAGATGTAGCCTGTTATCACAAAATAGAGATGAGATATTTCGAATGAGAGACAAAGCAAAACAGTCAAGTAGAAACAAGGAAAACAGGTTAAATAAACAGAGCTTGAAGCTTGCTTGATGAATGATACAAACAACTTCAAAGTAATAAGTAATAACATATCCATAAACTTCCAGAGCACAAGAAACGAAACCGTGACAACAGTTCTATTTCTACATCACCAAGACAAGCAACCAATTCAAAGAATTTTGAAGTTTCCTCTAAATGTTGAGCCTTTATGTTTCCTTTTTCAATTAACTATTTATTGATTCCAGCTTTTCAAACTCCATTGAATCACAGGTAACCAAATTACCCTCACTAACATTGTCCATTAACTAACACCTAAGATTCAGAAATCAAAGCAAGGGTCGCAAGGAAACATACAGATTCGTGGAGGGACCTCTGTTGCAGCAGATTCTAGCGCATAAGGCAGCAATAATCCCAACGACGACGAAGATTAGGGTTGTTATAAGGAAACCCATGTTTGATCCTGATCTGAGAGAGAATTATCTGCGACGAGACGTGATTTAGGATACAATAACCTCAAGGCGATCGAAAAGGACGGAGAGAGGAGAAAGTGTCTGAGATCTCACAGATTTGAAAATGAAGAGCTCCTCTTGGAGGAGGAGGACGATGATGTTCTTCGTGCGAATCCGGTGAATCTGAATTTTGGATCCGTGTCAGTTTTGAGAATTTTGTGAGGGCAAAATAGACCAAACCTAACTTATCTTCAAATAATACAAGTCAAACACCCTAATTATTTACCTTTGTCTTAATCACATTTCAATTATATAAAAAAACTTCTAATTTCATATCTATATGGTTTACAAATTAATTAATTTATGCACATTGTGATGTTTTTGTAGTGTAATTGTGAAATGATCAAATTATCCTTTTAATCGGGATATATAGAGAATGAATTAGAAAAATATGACACATTTGCACAAATCTTTTTACTAAAACATCTAATGAAAACAGAGCGAACAGTGTTTTTGTTCTTCTTCCAATTTTCTATTTCTTTAATCATATGAAAAATAACATAGCATTTTAGTCATAGTAATGTTAAAAAGGATAACACTAATGAAACAGTTTATAATGTTTTTACTCACTAAGGTAAAAGATTCTAAACAAAGGAGGAAGATGAATAGAAGAAAGGCCGGTTTTCTCTTTGCTCTTATCTCATTCAGCTCTTTTGCCCTCCAATACTTGCTCCATCAGACAAGAGCTTCTCTATACCATCCGCCGTGAGAATCTGTAGTCAGGTTCTACATCCATCGCCCACGCAAACTTCTCCAAAAGAGACTTGGTGAATATCTAGAACACCAAACATTTTTGAGTTATTGTAAGAAAAGAACTTGTTTCTTTTGTTCACAAGAGACCTATCCTGAGAGTTTGTTTCTAAAACAAGCTTTTACCTTTTCGATTGGTACTTCATGACGTTTGCACCATGCAACCGTGATTCTAGGATCCAGGTAGTTGATCTTAGATGTGCCCAGTGCCACTGTTTTCAAGTCCTCTTTTGTATGCATGTCTCGTTCCATTTTCTCAATCTTAGCACTCTGTTGAGCAATCTTCTTCTCCCACCTGCAATAAAACATTCAAAGGACATAAATCTTCAAAACGAGATAGATATCTAGAGTAGTCTTTTCAGAAGTAAGAGGGAAAGTTATATTACGCGTTTGGTTCTAAGCTTCTCATCTTCTTTCCATCGGAACCTTCCAAAGGTGGTTTTCCCTTCTTAGCCCGGTCAAGATTAGTTTTGAGCTCTTTAAGACCCTCCTACAGATTTATCAAAAACAAACAAACGGAAGGCATTATAAATGAATCCAGAAGAAAAGCAGAGAATTTCAAAAGGTTATCAAGAGTTTCTAGGAGATTTATACCTTGAGTTCTTCTATTCTCGCAGTCAATTTTTCAATTTGAGCACCATGTGACTTTGATACAGTACGCTGATGATTACAGATTATGGCAACCTGAAAGAGTGTGAACCAGTATTTCATGAATCTGCCACATGAGTTATGCACCAAACAAGAAATCACCAGGAGAATGAACAAATCTTTTACCTCCTTGTTTGCTTTCTGATAAACTACTATTTTCTGATTTAAATCGCCATCTTTGGTTTCTTGACTCAGCTGTTCCACATATCAAAACGGAACAAAGTTGTGAAAAATGTAAAGGAAGACAATAAAGAAATATAAATACTTGTAACTAGGTTTCTATGACTAAATTGTATAGCAGCATAAATCTAATTTGAAACCAGAAGATCCAAGATTTTGAACATACCATTTCATCCAAAGTGATGGAAGCATTATATGTACGGAATACTTTGGCTGTGAGACCAGGCACAAGTTCCTTCAGATGAGCATTCAGTTTACTTGTGTCCAACTCATCAAAAAGATCATCTGTTTTGGATTTTCCTGGATAGGGCAAAAAAGAAAGCATGTTATTTGAATCAATCACAAGAATAAAATAACCTGTGATATACCACGTCAAGTCCATATCTCACCCGCCTGGAACTGTCCAATGGCCTTGTAAACAAGAGGCTCAACCTCAACTGTGTTCACATACTGGATTGAATCCTTACCAAGAAAGTCAAACTGGGTACATATGAAGATAGAGAGAAATGTGTGAGATTATAAGTCTTCTGGCCAGGATTAAACACATGTTATCCACTTTCACAAGTGTAAAACTTTAAGGATGAAATTAATACCTTTATTTTATTTGGAGGAATACACTCCACATTTCCAACTTTTAAAGTACAACAACCAACAGTGTCGGCCTCATCATCATCCTACCAATCAAAAAAGAAATTATAAGATTTCTTCAGAATTTTTTTTTGTTTAAGCACCATTTATTTGTTAGAATCACTTGCTTTTACATTAAATTTGCAATATACTAGTTCAAAACTACCTTCTCATTTCCAGCCCTAAGCGCCAATTTATCAATGAGATATGTCGCCACAGCAATTTGCCTCGTTGTAACATCCTTGGCGGTAAAATTCTTGGTGTATGTTGTTCTTATATTATCTATATGGTCCTGCAGTCAAAACAAATCTATTGCTAAAAAGAAGCAATGAAAGAGTAAGCACGATTCATAAAAATGAAAGCTGCTTACCGTAAGATTCCTAGCTTTCTCGTACTTCTCTTTGTCGCTCAGCCCTTTCATAGCACTGCTAGGTGCCAAAAATACATACTTGAATTCTTTCTGGTTAATAGGATCAACCCAGAAAGCTAGCCAGGTAACTGTGTTATCATGCTTTACTTCTTTCCATCTGAAAAATCACACAGCTCCCATGGCTTAGTAAAGATCATTATATGATGCTTTTCAATTTAAGAGGAAAATAACGCAAAAACAAGACCTTTCACCAGCGATTGGACATTCTGGAATAGGAGCACCTTTCCCGAGATTTAAGGTGATCTCGCATGGACGGATACGCTTTTTTAGTTTTCCCATCTGAAAACAGACAGTAGATGGTTTTGAAAGAGAAAACAGAATAGACCATGCCTTAACTGAATCCACCCAAACCCGCAACGTCAAGGTATGTTGTTTACAAAAATTAGTCTCTGAGAGACAGGACTAACCTTGGGATGTTCTCCACGGCCTCTGAAAAGCCCAGGCGGTTCAACTCTGAAATTACCAATCTGAAAGATAAACAGAAGTTTGAGTGAGGAACTCCCTTTTGGGGAAATGACAACGTTATGGGAAGATTTACCTTCTCTTTGACACCATCAACAACAGCCCACATATATTTCTCCTCTTGCTTCAGTTTCTCCTCTTTCAAAGCTTTTTTCTCCTGTACCATATCAATTAAATTATGATATAAGTCTCATCTTGAAAATTTTCAACAATAAGAAAAAAAGGTCTGGGACACCAATATAGTCAGCCATTACACTTGAAATTCTATTTTTTAATTACCTCTGTGCTCATTTGTTTCTTCTTCTCTTTCTCTTCCAAATGCCACTCATATATGGGAGTAAAGTCACAATCATCCAACTTCTGTATCACATGTTTCCTGCCAAGCAGTGCTCGCCAGTCATTCCAGAAATTCTCCCTAAATTGAGGTTTATTATAATAATCTGTCTCTCTCATTACTGCAAACATAGTCGCAACCTGTATATC